TATTGTGGCGATTTCTAGCCCACAAGAGGATGATCAGCAATAAGAACCCCAGCCTCGGCCGAAACTAGAGCGCCATCTGCAGTCTACAATTGTACAGTAGTAATAGTAGTAAAAGAAACGCGGCCTCTACTTGCTTCCTAATTGGCCAGACTAATGAAGTACCGTTCCTCCTCGGAGTTCGTATGCTCGCATCTACTGCAGCTCTAAACGTTGCATGAAACACATGGTTGTAGTCTAAACCAAGCCGTGCACCACGCCATGTGCCAATTCTCTAACGAATTTCTACATAATAATAGTTTTTTTTTTGAAAAAGTGTGGCCCGTTAGGGGTACGCTTTTTGTTTTGTTTTACAAAAAAAAAGCTGTTTAGAGGGATCGTGCGTGGAGTATGTGCGCACGAGAAAAAGAATAATTTTTATGCACAGGGGGGTGAAAATTTAGCCATGGCTGTCTGTCTGTCTGTCTGGTGTCTGTCTGCGCGCCCTTAATACCCAGCAGACTCGAGCCCATTTCACCATCTCGGCACCAAATTGCAAACTAAAACTTGCGCACAACAAGTTATATTTTGCCCGAGCTGTCCCAACCGCTACCTTTGCAATCCGTGCTCGGTGTCTCGAGATAGCACACCGTATGTGCAAATATGAATGTCACATGGACGCATCCCCGGGAGGCGTCGTCATTTTTGTTTTTCTTTGGGCAACAAACTACTCGAACGCAAGAAACCACGACGCACTGCCGTGCTGCACGCATTGCTGCTGCTACTGGCAAGACACGCACTACACAGAGACAGGGAACATGGACAAGGGGGGCGGGACACACACACATACTGCTGTTGGCGACGGCGGAGGAAGCGGGGAACGTTTGGTTGGTCTGGGGTTCATTCATCGCTGATGATGTTGTTGCTGTTGTCTCCGTTGTTTGTTGTTGTTGTTCAACGCTGCCGGCCTTTTTTTCGCCTTTTTTTCTCTGGAGAGAGAGGGAGTCCCACCAACCAGCGTGTGTTGCACACACCACACAGCGAGAGCGGGACGGGAGCAGGGTGTGCCCTATACTACTGCTGCTGCTAGCTTTCGGCGGAGGAAGCGAGAGGAGAGATATTGATTGGGTCTCTGTGGGTCCATCGGTTGGTTGTTGTTATTGTGTTGCGACGCGGCGGGAGGGAGCGGCCTCTGACTCTGCTCTGGAGAGAGGCACACATACATCACAGCACGGGACCAGTAACACATCACGCTCGTTCCTAGACGATGTAGTACCACTGCTGTGCTGTGCACCTCTCTACACTCATTGTGGGCGAGAGGGTGTGTCGCCTCTGCTGCTGCTGCTGTTGCTGTTATCTAAAGCGGTGGCGGAAGCGTCCTGTTCAAACAATCAGCAGCAGCATCGGCACAAGTTTTCAACGTTTTTTTCTTCCTCTCTAGCTGA